ACAAGAGCATTAGTAATATGTGAATGCGACAGACGAGGACTTAATCTCTACCCTGCTGCTCAACAACCAAGTTAACCTATGTAAAAACGATATTGCCTGAGATCAAAATAAAGTAAAGACCAGGTTTCTAAGGTTGGATTTAGATATCTGTCCTGAGCTTTTTGCTGCTTAAAAGATAATTGACTGGCTGATAGAAGTATTTTACGGCTTGTCAACCCTTTGTGCGTTATTTAAAGCAGAAACATATTTCGGGTTGCACGACGTCACATACAGTAACCTGTGCCCCCAAATGTTCACAAATTTAGGCACTGACCAAATCCAAAATTGTTGATCGGCTCTAAAGGTTAATTCCATCAGCAGATATCTCATGTTCAAAATCCTCCAAATCTATGGTATACCCTCCAGAATTGTTGAGGCGATTAGAACTCTGTACAGAAACATAACTGCCACCATGGTATCGGCTGATAGCGAGATTGATGCCTTTGATGATAAGGCAGGAATTCTACAAGATGGCACACTTGCTCCTTTTCTGTCTATAGTTGTTATGGACTTTGATCTCTGGATTTCTCTCGAAAACACGGAGAAAAAAGGACTCCTTTTGAAACCTAGCCTCCACAATATCTGACACCTTATCTCCCAATGTCTTCCTTCTGGAAGAGTCTTCTCACGAAAATTAGCTTTCCCAGACAGCACAGCTTGTGACTCAGGGTAGGAAATTGGGGATCTTGAGATAGCAATACAGGAAAGAACAATGTGGAAAAGGATTGTCAATGGACTTCCGACCAGATATCTTTGTCGATGATCATGCTTTAATTTCTCAATGTATGCAGAATCCTTGCTGCAATCATTCGAGCAAGCAACGAACCAGGTAGGTCTCTATTCCAACGTAAATAAGATAGAATACATCACAACCTCCCTTGAACTGTCCGGTTTCAAGTCACTCAATAATACATACATCAAAATTGTTGAGGACTTCAAATATCTTGGGACTCACAAAATAGATTAAAAAAAAAACTTCAACATCTGCAAAGCTATTGAATGGGATGCGTGTAAAAAAATTCACAAGATTAAGAGTTCAGGCCATAAAAGTCCAAATCTTTCGAACATTGATTTAAACTCCCCTATCGTTTGGATCATAAACTTGGAGATTATCTGTTCGTCTTGAAAGACGACTGGATGGAACATATACAAATCTACAGAGAAAAATCAAGAACATTTGTTGGAAATCCCATACAGTGTTTAACAGAATTTACAGAGAACTGAGACCAATCTCCCTGAAGCTAAAAAAAAAAAATTACAGTTTGCCGGCCACTGCCACCGATGGAGAGGAAAATCGTCTCATAATTACTCCTGTCATCCTTCTGGAAGAGTCTTCTCACGAAAATTAGCTTTCCCAGACAGCACAGGGTTGGACATTGGGGATCTGTGGATAGTGTTGACCATGTTTGCCGTAATCTCTGAATATGGAATCCAGTGAAGTCCGTAATCTCTTCAATATCAGAGGTTGGCAGTGGAGATTCGGAGAAAGTAGCCTGTTAATTCTTTAAGTTTTCGATATCAGGTTGGCAATGAAGATATTTTTGGAGAAAAAACAAAATGGCTGCCTTTATACACGTCACATTGAATATTTTGAGCTTTCTGATTGGTTAACCCTTCTCTTGGTGGACCATAAAATGAGTCCGCTCATTTTGGTTGGCTCACTAGTACACACATATATAAAAAAAAACTGTAACAGATAGCAATGCATGAAAGAACAGTGTGGAAAAGTATTGTCAATGGACTTCCGACCAACCAGAAAGAGGTCGAAGGATGATGATGATGATGGCGGTGATGATGATGATGATGATGATAGTTTAAGTAATCGGTATCGTCCGATATGTTTCTCCAAATATCATCCGACAATTATCCTCTGTTATTTCCGTCTTCTCGCTGCCTTAAATCAACGGTCCGAATAAAAGTAACTAAGACTATCAAATTTAACATTTTCTATCATTATGTGTATTGTTTAAAAGCTATTGCCTTTCAGGACATAGAGAATCATGGCTTTCCACAGCTTCACTTTTATTATCTGTGAACCGTTAAAGTGGATTTATCCCCCACTGACTTCTTCACTGAATTCAGTGTTTTTCCTTGTCGTGGTCTAGGTGACCTCCAAGTTTTAAAGAGCACAGTCTACTCCTGGGATAGTTTGTTTAGCGGCATATCAACACCTTATGCGTCATTTAATACCAAAATTTAATTTTCTGAGAGTCGTAGAAGTAATAAAAATATATGTTATTCTGCTTTCACAATTGAATACATGGTACAAAGATACTCAGTTTTTGTGCATATATATTTTTGTGTAGACATAATTATTAGTGGCGGTGATGGGTTTGTTTTATGTCCTAGTTATATTTTGGAGTGCAGTTTGATTTATATAAGGAAATCTTGGATGTGATATAGATTAATGTCATGTAAACGTTTGGTTGATTTTGTTTAATGACATGTTAACCTCAATGGGTTATCTAATTCCAAAATGTAAATATTTTGAACGCAATTACATATTACACATAAAATATATTGTTGCTAATTCTACTATAAAATGTATCGTTACTCATTTTGCTATAAAATGTATTATCGGTAATTCTAATATAAAATCGTTTGCTATACATTTAGCTATAAATATGGGTTGTTGGTAATTTTATTATAAAAATTGTATTTTTTATAATAAAATTATCAACAACCAATATTCATAGCAAAATAGTGATTTTCATAGTGACTTTTATTTTTTTTATTAGGGTTTTACTGTTTGTCTATAGCTGGGACCAAAAAAAAAAAACTAGTGCTACCATCACATGTCAGGGTGAACCAGGGGGTAAAAGCAATAATAGGTGGATCCATACTATTTACAGTATTCGGACTATTGTCCCCATTGTGTTGCCATATTTATCACAACATTTCGGCCGTTGTACGCTCCGGCCTTCTTCAGGTCGTTGGAATGTCGAGCTGAACCCTTTATTTTGCTCGTTGGGGTAGGCTGTTCTAATTCCACGTGCCATGTCTAATGGATGTCAGTTATCCTGTTGATTCACCTCTACAAGTTCTCCACTGCCTTAACCAGGTATTGAACTCACAACTCTTTGGGTCCTGTCGCTGGATTTGATCAACTCCTTTATTCACTGTGCCATGTGTACTTAAAGGTTCAGTTCGACATTCCAACCACCTGAAGAAGGCCAGAGCGTACGACGGCCGAAACGTTGTAATAAATATCGCAATAGTCTAAATAATGTAAATAGTGTACATAATACCTCATCTCAGAAATATAAAGAAATACTAAAGAACGCTGAGGCAATAGTACGAATAATGTAAATAGTGTACATAATATCTCATCTCAGAAACATAGACAGACACTGAAGAATGCCGGCGGGTATAACGGCCGAAACTTTGTGATAAATATGGCAACAATCCCGAGGACAATAGTCCGAATAATATATATATAGTGTACATAATAATTATCTCAGAAATATAGACAGACACTGAAGAAGGCCGGAGTGTACGACGAGCGAAACGTTATGATAAATACGGCAACAAAGCTGAGGAAAATAGTCCGAATAATATAAATATTGTACATAATACTTTAACTCAGAAATATAGACAGACACTGGAGAAGGCCGGAGCGTACAACGGTCGAAACGTTGTGATAAATATGTCAACAAATCTGAGGACAATAGTCCGAATAATGTAAATATTGTACATAATACGTTAACTCAGAAATATAGACAGACATTGAAGACGGCCGGAGCGTACAAATGCCGAAACTTTGTGATAAATATGGCAGCAAATCTAAGGACAATAGTCCGAATAATGTAAATAGTGTACATAATACCTTATCTCAGAAATATAGACAGACATTGAAGAAGGCCGGAGCGTACAACGGCCGAAACGTTGTGATAAATATGGCAACACATCTGAGGACAATAGTCTGAATAATGTAAATAGTGTACGTAATACCTTATCTCAGAAATATAGACCGAGGTGATCCACGCTTCTCAGATCTCCCAATCTCCCGATCCCAGGCTTTGCTGTCGAATGTAGTTTATCGTCATACCCAAGACTATCCGGGATAGAAGAAATGTGTTCACGCTTTTTCTAAGGGCATTTGATGAAGTGAACAGCCAAACTGGAAGTTCAGTTCGGGTCACTGGTAACCGTTTTGAGACCAATATATCATACACACATTAAGAACGTAGAAATTCTTTCCCGGTATTTGCATATTTCACAGCTACTGTTTTTTCCTCTCACCGTACAAATTGTTCTTCGCTATCCAATTTAAAATTAATTTCTTTTTTAACAGTAAAAGCTTCTTCTAAGACAGGCTGATATATACAATTAAGTGTTACCTCAAAATTACCGGTCTCTATTCCAATACTCTAATCACAAAACCAAAACTGTGAGGACAAGTTCGGCCCACATACATAGTCGATAGAATCAAAAACTAATACATTATCGTAAGCGTTAAAGCGCTTTCTCCGCCAAGTATTTTCAGAAGAAATTTTTCAACAAACAAGTGAGTAAATAAATAAATACTATGAATAAAACACCAGAAAATACACCAAAAAAAAAAAGAAAGAATTCGGTATGTCTCATTTTCAAGGCATTGGTGAGAAAACGGCTATTGTGTCTAAGAACTGTCTCCTTGCGAAGGTGCCGTCTGTCACTATCAAGGAGATACCCATTTTGTAGGGAATGTAGCCGCTGGCGGTTCTAGAAATGTGGCTAAAAAATGGATGAGGACATTCTGACTGCAACGACCCTCCTGTAATTTCTGCTTCGGCTCAACTAAGAATAACACAAAACATATAAATTGGAATATGTATTAAATAGAAAATAAAACCTTAAAACACTACTTGGATCTAATGTCATAGCAGCTTGGCTAGGGAAAAGGAAGCAAGGTAGAGAAGGATAGGAGCTGATAAGGCAAAGTTAGGCGGACATGTATAAAATGAAAGAAAAGTATATATTTAAAAATAAGAGTAAGGAGCAGAGAAGAGTGAACAGATTATGAGGGATTGATAAAAAAAACGCGAGAAAGAAAGAAAGAAAGAAAGAAAGAAAGAAAGAAAGAAAGAAAGAAAGAAAGAAAATTCTGGAGTGATGAAAAAGCAAAATAGCTTGGAAATGAGCAAGATAAAAAATGAAACGAAAGAAAAAAGAAAAAGAAGGAAAGAAAGAAAGAAAGAAACTTTGAAGAAAAAAGAAAAAGAAAAAATCATAGAAAATGCTCAAGATTCAAAACGAGATGTTAGAAAGAAAGAAAGAAAGAAAGAAAGAAAGAAAGAAAGAAAGAAAGAAAGAAAGAAAGAAAGAAAAATATAAGAAATGGACAAGATTCCAAACGAGACAAAATAAAGAAAGAAAGAAAGAAAGAAAGAAAGAAAGAAAGAAAGAAAGAAAGAAAAATGTAAGAAATGGACAAGATTCAAAACGAGACAAAAGAAAGAAAGAAAGAAAGAAAGAAAGAAAGAAAGAAAGAAAAAAAGACAAGAAAAGAAAAGAAAAGAAAGAATCATCGGAAATGGACAAAATTCAAAATGAGACGAGAGAAAGAAAAAGTAAACAAACAAACGAAACAAGGTATGAGGAAATAGAAAGATTATTGGAAAAAGAAAACTAGAATTTTTTTTATTATTCTGCTGAATTCAAAAGTCTTATGTTGCGGTTAATATGCTTGACGCCTTTCTTCGCTCCTGCTTCCAGCTATGACTGCTTCTAATGACATGCAAAAAGATAATGCTGCAAGGGACATTGGCTGAAGTGGAGGGGAGTGACAATATGATGCGGTGTGTGGTGGCGGGAAGAAATAAATGGACGATACTAGCGATTATGATGATCAGATACCAGGCAGAATGGGTAATAATGAAGCGAAGAAGTTCCAACTGAAGGGATTATTGAAAGAAGGTTAGCAAGTTTTTGTTAGTAAGGTTTATAATAAGGTCCATAATGTAAGGAGCATAATGTTACTTGCAGCAATCGGGCAGAACGTGATTTTGCTCCGAGAGATTATCCTGCTGGTCGATATTGCTAACACGTATAGAATATTATCATAATGGCGTTGATAAGCGCTAAGTCAAAGAATCGGTTTGTGTTAAGGATGTCACGTTAATTAGCCAAACTACAATAATAAATATTTTACTCATTATAGGACTAACTTTTTATAGATATAATAATAATAATAAATAATAATAATAATAATAATAATAATGGGACTACACAATACACACTGACAGAACAATCAAGGCCAACCGGCCAGATATTGTTATTAAAGACCACAAACAAAAACGATGCCTCCTTATTGATATGGCAGTCCCTGCTGACTGCAATGTATCTTTGAAGATATTCAAAAAGTTGTCAAAGTACAAGGACTTTGAAATAGAAATCTCGAAAATGTGGCATATGGGAACATCAACAATCCCTGTTGTAGTTGGAACCCTAGGACTGGTTGGAAAAGATTGCAGCAGACTAATTGAAGGGATTCCTGGAAGTCCATGCCTCAAGGAGATACAAAAAATTGTTCTGACAAGTACAGCCCACACCTTACGAAGGGCTTTATCTATTTAATTTAATTCTTTTTTCTTTTTTTTTTTTTTGTCAGTGGAAAGTGTCATGACGCCATTTCTAACCTTAGGTCCCTAGGCGGGACCCGGAAAGAAATGTGTAAACACCAGAAATCAAAGAAAATAAAAATAATAATATTAATAATAATAATAATATTTTTTAATCAGTTCACCCCAAGCAAGGTGATAACACCACTAAGGCCCAAGGGTTTTCTGGAAGTGAAAGAAGGAAAAGCTTGTACCACTGCAGTAAGTACCTGACTCCTCATACTATCATTTACCAAATCAGGCCGAAAATGAATTACTTGTGACATATTTTGGCGGGAACAACCCAGGCCTGACTTTCTAGTCTTAAAGTTCAAAAATGGCTCAAAGACCTTGTTGGAAATGAATTATTTTCTTACAGATTGGATGTGGCGTGATTCTCAAAGCTCTATATCTACTTCCATCGAAAGTGCTCAGGCGAACTGCATTCTCGGCTTCCGCCTGAGCTATCATTCACGGCTAAGACCCGCCATGCCACTTACATCGTAGCAATCCACCTGTACTCCCCTGTATTGTACGATATAAGTTCCACTCGAACGGCTTCTTCTTGCGAATCACTGCTCATCGATCCCTACAATCTTAACCTGTTCAAATCTAGAATTAATTGTTGTCTTCCTTTCCTGTCCATATAAACTACGCCTTAACATAATCTTCGTTACATTTAGCGCACTATTAGTTGTTGTTGTTTTTTTGGGGTTTTTTTGGGTTTTTTTGTTTTTGGTTTTTTTATGTACTTTTTATCGCATAAAATTTTGTGAGGCGAGAGCAAATTTTCATTCCGAAAAAATGCGGCCCAGAGAAAAAAAAAGTTTCGGAAGTACTGCTCTACTTAGTTGATTTTGGTACCTTTAAATTGGTAACTCACACTCTTAGTCACACATTCTGTTTAACGTTTATATATTCTATCTTCTTACAATTCAGTGTCAGTCCTTTTTCCTTGCTTTCCTTAAAATTTATTTTTTTCTTGTTGTTCCTGTCGTTGTTATGTATGTCTATATTTTAAATCACTTAATCCCAAGTAAAGCAATAAAGCTACTAAGATACAAGACGAATACGAAGGGTTAATAAACATTAAAAAAAAACAGTTAATAGGAGAAAACGGTGAAAGAACAAGAATTACAAAGACAGAAGATAACGATAGCAACACGATGTTATCTGCATGTGTTTTATAGTTTTAAAATGGCAGGTAGAGAATATTTGTAAAACGACAATTGAATTGTGTCACTTCGCGTCCATCATAGCTTGCCTGTCTTTTCGACTAAAAAATGAATATTTATGAGCGTTCTTAAATTTCAAAATTTTCAAAAACCAGTAACATTATAGCTCTTGTATATAAATACTTGTTAGAAAATAATATCCTTGTATTTACATTGATAAAGTTTATCAGAAGAAAAAACCCATAGGCTAAGATAAGTTATCCTTTTGCCTTTACTTATATGTTATATTGTTAAAGATTTTGTTCACGTGTAATAAATCCTGATATAACTTAAATTCCCTTAGGAATGCCTCACTGCATAGATTAAATAGTTTGTGAGATATGACGCAAGACTTGTATTATGATCTTTTTCTTTTTTTTTTTTTTTTTTTTGTATACTTTATCAATTCCTTATCTGACCGGATGCAGACGATTTGTTTCCAGTAAATGTTCTTGGTTATTCTAACATCGTTTCTAAATAAATCGAGTTTTCACAGCAGCTCAAATAGATCTGTATGTAATATGTCAATACTTTTTACGTAAAATATGAAAGATAGGTACAGCCAAGCTAATTATATCTAATATTTTAATTTATTATAGGAGATCTTAAAAAGTAGTTAGTTTTCAAACTCCATCTTTGTTTTTCTATGTTTGTCGTTTGTAGGATTTCTGGTGTCGGAAGTTTTGAATTTGAGTTTTATATTTTTTTATTTAATATTTTATTAGTTATTATTTTATTAGTTTTATTATTTTACTATTTATATTACTTATTATTTTTATTATTTTTTCTTTATATTTATCATTTATTATTTCTTTACATTATTATTTAATTATTATTTGTTTACTTTATTCTTTATTACTTTATTATTATTTATTTGTTTTTATTTATTTATTCATTTATTTATTATTATTTATTTATTAAAATTTATTACTTTATTATTTATTTATTTACATTATTATTTATTATTTACATTAATATATTTTTATTAATTTTTTTATTATTTTATTTATTATTATTTTATTAATTTTATTATTTATATTATTACTATTTTATTACTTTTACATAAATTCTGAAAGATAGGTGTAACCAAGCTAATTATATCTACTATTTTAATTTATTATATGAAATCTTTAAAAAAAATAGTTAGTTTTCAGACTCCATCTTTGTTTTTCTATGTATGTCGTTTGTAGGATTTCTGGTTTTGGAAGTTTTGAATTTGAGTTTTGTATTTTTATACCTATGTTTTATAGATTATGCAAAAGCCTTTGATAAAATACGACACAAAGAACTGCTGGAACTGCTCGTTAACCTTAACAAGTTTTGGAAGGATATCAGAATAATCCAGAACTTATAACGGATAGAAAATAAATTCAATAAATATTTTTAAAATGCAAAGGAATTACTCAACGGATACATTAAGGCGATTCTGGGAGAATTAATTATAAGCGAACACAATTTAAAAATATAAGATATGCAGATGAAACAGTGTTGATATCAGTCATCTAAAGATTAATACAAGAACTCTAACAGCATGTATTGAAGGAAAGTCAAGACTAAACATCAGTTACAAAAAGACTATCTATGGTTTCTCAGCAAGTGGAACAGGTAAACTACAAATTGCATTTAGCAAAATAAAACAATTACAAAACGTTAATATCTGGGAAGTGATTAAACAGAGGATAAAAATTGCGATACCGAAATCCGAAGGCCAATTCAGAAAAGGGAAATATGTTTTCAAAAAGCTAAGCAAAGCATTAAGAAACAGGAAATTTTTGTTAGAAACAAAGAAAATATTACTGACGAGTTATGCAATATCAGTCCCTCTATATGGCAGTGTATACAGGACAATCTCCTCACAGATAAAGAAGAGATTTAAGACAACAGAAATGTGGCCCCACAGAAAGATGCTGAATATACCATGGACTGGACATGGGAGTAACGAAGACGTTTTAGATAAAATGGAAGCAAAAAGGACACTTTCACTTAACATCACAAAGAGATAGTTAAAATGTCTTAGCCATATAATAAGCAAAGAGGGTTTAGAAAACTTGATATTCACAGGAGAGACTGAAGGCAAGAGGGACATGGCTTAACGTGCTCTGCAAATAGCTAACAGGACAGGGTTTAGGACAGATGTGTAAAAGAAAAAAAACTATAAGAGGTATAAAAGACTGAAAATTGAGGAGTGTCATGACAACCAACGTCATAAAAGGAAATGGGACATAGAAGAAGATTATACACTATTTACATTATTCGGACTATTGTCCTCATCTTTGTCGCCATATTTATTACAACGTTTTGGCCGTTGTAGACTCCGGACTTCTTCAGGTGGCTGGAATTTCGAACTGAACCCTTTATTTCGCTCACTGGGGAAGACAGTTCTAGTTCCACGTGCCATGTATAATGGATGTTATCATTTGTCTCCTGTTAATTCCCCTCTCCAAGTTCTCTACTGCCTTAACTGGATATTGAACTCACACTCTTTGGGTCCTGTCACTGGATCTAACCAACGCCTTTATCCACTGGGCCATGTGTCCGTGAGGATAGTGTACATAATATCTCATCTCAGAAGTATAGACAGATGTTTATTTATTCAATGAAACCTGTTTGAATGAAGACATGCTATCTAAATACAGATAGATATACACAGACACAGACACACACAAACACTGTGTGTGTATGTGTGTGTGTATGTGTGTGTGTGTATGTGTGTGT